CAAGGGCATGCCAAATCTCCCTATATTTATAAAAACCTGGATGATTGTCCAAAATCGTTACTTTCACTCAGATGGTTCATATTGCATGGACAGTAATATTGCATACAAAACATCAGCCAACCAATCAACATTTACTCAGCTTCTACTAATTATTTCATTCAAATTTCCAAGAGCAGGCAAATTTTCAAATGTCACTGATAAGGCTGGGTAATGAAATGACTGAAAGAAAACCATAGTTGTCAGTTTTGTTATATCGCTGGTTTAAGTAATTGTTTAATTTTGGTAATAAGGGTGAGGGAATAAAATGCACAAGCGTTGTAGAAGGTAAGAATCATAAATACTCTTGGGAGAGTTTTTATTAGTGGCTATTTGACTTAGTCGTTGGCATTAGAGCATAGCAAATACAGAGTTTGTGGGAAAACAAAACCCTGAAACAGAAAATTTGTTTTGAATATGCTGACCTTACTTTCTCCAAATTGGCTGTTTCAGACATTTTAGAGATTTGTTATTTCATTGCATCATTATACTATGGGCCTTATAATTGATGATTTACTTTTATGATCATTTAAAATAATAAGATTATTGATATGCTGTAATTTATATTATCATTGAAAATAATCTGGCATAGAGTCCAAAGCCCCCAACCATTTTCAATGAATTTACCAGAGCACACACAGGGCCATATACCACTTCCATGGATCCTGGGCAGTTTTACTTTATGTATACAAAAGAGTCACCTGGGGACCCTGTTAAAATGTAGATTGATTCAGTAAATCTGGGTGGAAATGCAAATTCTCAGCAGGGAGTTGAACCAGAATGAGCCAATTTGAAGCTCTAGTACATAGATACAGATAGAGATACATACATACTTATATATCATTATATATCATAGCAACATGGATTGAAATATATATGTATTTGATGTAGAGATGAGTGAGATATTGGGATAAACCAAGCACATATTCATAATGCAACCCAAGTCATAGCACAATGGTTGAATAATAATTGGCTATTGATGGATATTTCTTTGATTCAGTCTTCCATCTATTTTTTATTTTTATCTAAAACTTTTACTGTATGTGTCTTGGTGTTTTACTATACTATAACTTCATGCTAATTTCTAGTCATTAATTTTATTTCTAGTCTTAGGTCTTTTTTAAGTTCTGTGAAATGTTATTTTGGGTGCCTCTGATTATGACTTCTGCATTGTTTGGTGTGTCTCTCATTTGTTTGCAAATCCTCCATTTTTTTCATCTCTTTTCACAAACTTTTCATTTCCTTGTTCACATCCTCAAATTTCAGAAAACTCCTCCCCAAAAAAACCTAAATGCACTGGAACTATGAAATCTCAGACAAGCATTTTTGAAAACTTACTCTTTATTTCATGGGTTACATTCATTTACTGAATATTACTCTTTTCACCACTTCTAAAACTTATTTAGACAATTTTAATGTGCATCCCTTTCACTTTACCTTTATTCTAGCTCAAACTTGTTAAATGTATTTAATCCTTTCACTAAAATACAGTTTGTTTCATTTGTTATCTCTTTTTGAGGTGATTTTTCTCAGGTTTTAAGGGACATTGTAGTTGGCCTCTTCCCACAGAACAGGAAGTACTAGCATAGTTAAAACAAATCCAATTAAAATTTTCTATCTCCAAAATGAGTTTTATTAACATTATTCTGTTTTCAGCATGCTTGAAAGTTATGTATCATTTAAAGGAGGGAAACTATTAAATAGTGTACTTTCTTTAATTTTCATTATACAAAAATCATACTTCTATTATTATTTCCAAACCAATCATAGATTAATGAATAAGCTACAGTGTACATTGCTTTTTAAAATACATTCAGAAGATGGTCTTGATATGATGCAGTCATTTCAAATCATCTCAGAGGTGATACCAGCAAAACCAAACCCATGCCCTCGCGTCCATTCCAACTCACAGGGATCCTATAGGACAGAACAGAACTGCCCTATAGAGTTTCCAAGGCTACAAATCTTGAAAAGCAGACTGCCTTATGTTTCTCATTCGGAGCTGATGGGTTTGAACCACCAGCCGACCTTTTGGTTAGCAGCTGAATGCTTTAACCACTCCACCACCAGAGTTCATTTTATAGATCATGTCACCCTATGAAAAGAGCTATTTGCAACTTAAATGCTGGAGCTTTGTAGTTTAGACTCAGGATGATCTGCCTCGACTTGAATTGTGTTCTGAGAAGAATTGTGTTATAATGGGGGAACAATGTAGTAGCAATGGTACAATAAAGCTTTTTAAAAATAGCTTCAACATATTGTTCCATTGTGTAAGAAATTTTCCTTGCATTTGTCAAAACACTCTTGTTCTTTCATGAATTGTGAAATGTATATCCATTTTTAAAGAACATCAGGAGAATTCATAGACTCCAAAACATCCAGAGATCTACTGTTTTTAGTGTAATTTTATGGCACCTATTTCAATGACGAGCTCAAGAGATGGAAAAATTAACTTATTTTGGTAGCCTTACATAGCTTTTCTTACATAGCCTTACATAGCTTTTCTTTCCTCAAATCCATTTTATAGTTCTTCAGTCCTCCACCTAAGAAATAATTAGAATTCAAATTTGGCTCATACTGTGAAAATGGCTAAAACCATATACTTAGATATGTATTAGAATCACCTGAGAAGTTTGTTAAAGTACTGATGCTGGGCCCTATGCCGGATCTCAGGAATTACAATATCTAGTAGGAGAACCAAGACTTCGGGTTTTTTTTTTTTTGTTTGTTTGTTTTGTTTTGTTTTTACAAGCTCCTGAGGTGATTCTGATGCCTACCAAAGTTGGCAAGCCACTGCTTTAAAATTCTCTAAACATAGACATTGAATATTAAGGCTAAAGCTTCTCTTTTGCTTCCTAAATAGCACAAGTTATAAAAACACAGACACAAAATTAAGGGGTACTGGCCTCAGATATTCTGTTGATTCTGGTTTTGGAAAAGGAGTTCTGGCTTAAAATGGGAAAAGGATTCATTTTATTTGGGTGTTTTAAAAATATATGTATAAAGTTAATTAAAGACAATTATAGAAGACTGAAATTTTTCTCATAAGATGGTCTAAAGCTACATGTAATGATAATAAACTATGTTACTCACAGAAGAAATTTCAGGAGTGTTTTGATCTTTTATCTAATTCTGGAAGAATCCTATTTTATCTACTGAATGAACAATGTAAGTTAACTAATTTTAAAAAAAAGTTCTTAGGACAAAAATTTACCAACTACTCTATAGGTTGACATGCTAAAACATCATCATTACATGCTAGGTGATCATATTTGGAAGCGTATTTTTGTCCTAAACCAATCATTAAATCTCTTTTTTTTATAAGATCTGAGAGCTAAAATGTCCATAGGTGGTAGTCAACTCAGAGGATCCACATTGGCCAAAGCTTTATATGACAAAATATGAATCTCCTTATATAGAATCTCTTATATCCCAGTAGAAAATGTCTACTTACTTAAAGGAACGTTCAAACACCAAGCTCAGTAAAGACAACAGACTCTTTCTTGGAGTATGTTGTAAAGGAATTTCATTAATAGTGTAAATGGGCTTGTCATGTAGAAAACATCTCAGAGGTAAATAAACTCTGGTTCAGAGTGGCTAACCCGGGCCCAAAGGCAGTGGTAGTATGACAGGATTCAGAAGAAAAGCAAGTAGAAATTAATGGGGTTGTCCAAAACTCTATCAAAGCCTAGACCCAGTAGATATACAGGTAGGATTGCTAGATAAAATACAGAAAACACCCCCCCCCAAAAAAAAAAAAAAAAACATTGTTATTGAGTCAATTCTGACTCATAGCAACTGTACAAGACAAAGGAGAACTACCCCATAGGGCTTCCAAACTTGTAAATCTTTATGGAAACAGACTGCCATATCTTTCTCCCATGGTGCAAATTGCAGGTTCAAACTGCCAACCTTTCAGTTAACAGTCAAGTGTTTAACCACTGGCCACCAGGGTTCCTACAGAAAACAGTTCAATTTTAATTTCATATAAGTGATATTTCATATAAATAATTTTTTAGTATAAGTATGTTCCAAATACACAATACAATGTGAAATATGTCTGTATTGTTGTATATTTTGGATAAACTAAATATACCAAATTATATTTTTTAAGATACTCATTATTTATATGAAAATCTAATTTAACTGGATGTCCTGTATTTTTATTTGTTTTATCTCATCCATCACTCAGTGCCCTCAAGTTGGATCCGACTCATAGCGACCCCTCCTTGGGTTTCCAAGGCAGTATCACCGCAGAAGTAGATTGCTCAATCTTCCTTACGAGAAATGGCTGGTGGGTTTGAACCACCAGCCTTCTCATTAGCAGTCAAATGCCTTAGGCACTACGCCACTAGAGCTCCCAAACATTTTAAATAGACCATAGACCATTTAAACATATTATTATTTTTTAATTGTGATTTGAGTGAGAGTTTATAGAGCAAATTCATTTTCTATACAACAGTTAATACACATTTTGTTTCATGACATTGATTGCAATCCCCATAATGTATCAGCTCTCTTCTCACTTCCTCCCTGTGGTTACCTTTTCCCTGTGTCTTTCTTTCCTATGCATTCCTGCCCTCTGAGCTATCTCCCTGTGCAAGTACTGCCACCTTAAAAAAATACACTAGATTATAAGATGCACTTTTAAGTCCATATCTGCTTAGAGTACATTTAATTTTGTCTTACTTCTACACAGAGCTGAGATTTTTTTCAACAGCACAGTTTCCAGAACTCTCCCTCCACCATATAAGGTGGATAGATAGATAAAGGAAGAGTGAATTATACAAGGCTAATGAGCACTATCACACTCAAACTATCTTTTATCTTTCATATAACTGAAACTTACCCACATGCCCACTATGGAAGAGGGAGGTCTTCTGTTTTCTAAGTAAAATTGTTTTTATGTGAAGAATCTGTAAAATATGAGAGTAATTTTAGTAACTGTTGTTTATTTACCTTAGCTCACCTGGGAGCAGAAGTTTCAGTGAGAAGCACTAGAAACACCCATCCTTCCCAAACCCCCACTACTTATAATGCAGTTACATATAGAGTGGAAAACCTTATTAGAAATATCACAGAGGCCTTCACCAGGAGTACTGAAGAAATCTACAGTCAAAGCAGTAGTGAAAGGCAGAGCCCCAGTATGCAGACAACCGGAACGACAGAGACACCACGGGTTCAAACAACTACCCAGATGTTTTCCAGCACCACTGAAGAGGTAAGGGTACAGGGGGCTGTGGAGTGTACTTTGTGAACAGTCTCAGAAAGCCCACTGCTTGAAAAGACTTGTTTTGTGGCAAATGGCAACTACTGAAGTGGGTGATTAGGCATTTTGTGTCCTAGCTGCTGTATGTACGTGTCTGCTTTCTGTGAAATGAGAAAATCTTTGATATAGAATTAAAATGTCTACTTTTTCATAAAGTGAAGATAATTAGGCTAGCATGGCATAACTGTACTCCTGTAGGTTGGCTACATTTTGTTAAGCAAAACCAGGGCTCACGGCTTACACGTGTTCTTACATATGGTGGCACAGTGGTCACCTTGCATATATGTCACATAAAGGGGGGCGCGGTGGAGAGTCACCAAGCAATGGCAAATTCAGGAGGCACTATATTTGATCTGGGAACGTGGTCAAAGATAAGTAACCATTTCCACATCAGCTTCCTCAAACCCAACTGTGACTCCTATGTAACCAAATCTACAAAATCACAGATGAATCCAATGACTGAAAAGCAGCGATGCAGCATAGGAGTTGGCTCACAAAATGTTTCTGTTTCAAGTGTTCATCTCTTCCATTTTGCTTTTCTCTCAGAGTTTTAGGCCACCAATTTAGGCAATAACAGTGCAGTTATAACAAAGCGAAATCTGTGATTTCATGTGGTAGTATTTAGCTGTTTCTCAATAACCAATTTTAGTAATTTAAAGAAAGTAAAAGCTCAACACTATTTATAAGATTTAACATTCATCCAGTGCCTTGGTTTATTTTGTATTGCTAGAATTTCATATTGCATATGGCTCCCAACAGTGCACATTATTGATAGCAAAACAAGGATAGCCAGCCAGTACATTAAATGACTCATAGGACTTTATTTTTTCACCTCCACTTTTCCTTTAAATAAATCTTCCCTATGACCTCATTCTTCCCTTGCCCTTGAATAGAATTTGGGAATGCCCTATGACTTTTCTGGGCACCCTTTCTATCACTTTAAAACTCAATATTTATTCTCTATACATTAGCAAAAATATCAAGTCCAGAGAATAACTGAAACTCTATATTTGACTTAAATGTTAGCTTCTCCTCTACCTTAGTGAGTCATCTTGGTTCCATTCCTCATGATCTCTCATCCTCCATTGACTACACTGGATTTCGGATTCCTGGTCTAGGGAAGCTTTACAAGAGGAGATGGTAGATGCTGCAAGCCACTTAAGGCTTAGTCTCTGGAATCATACAATATCACTTCTGCCACCTTCTATTGGTCAAAGCAAATCATAAACTATGCCAGATTCAAGGGGTAGGGAAATAGACTCCACCTCTTGATGAGAATTGCTGCAAAATCTCATTGCACAAGAGGTATACATATTGGATAAGAGGAGTTTGAAGTCATTAAACAATCTACCATACTATTATTTTTATCATCTCTATGCATATGCAAAACTAACAAGTAGCAGAGCAGGGAGAAGAGTGCACACACATATGCACATATAGCACACACACAACCACACGCAACATGCACACCTATGTACACATCCATTTACTTAATCACCTTTTTCTCTTACAGAGACTCCTGTTAGTGAATGCCAAAGAGGACATGATTTGGAACCTAGAAATCACATCTCTTTAATGCTACTGTAAATACAATTTAGGATTAAGTTGACTCTTTGGAGCAAAATAGTCTCTGCTTTCTCCTCCTTTCCTTTTTTCTTTCCTACCCTGCCAAAGTGATGGGTCCTACTTTGGAATTTAGTACTTTATTTAAAACTCTGTTTCTTGCTCTTACTAATCCTCTTACTCTCCTTCTCATTTTCACTCTCTCATTCTCAACCCCTGGATACGCATTCAGTGAACTAACACATAAGTGCCTAGAGCAATGTCTAGAAAATAGTGTTTAATTTATGTTAGTTGCTGTTGCTATTATTATTGCCATTACAAATAGTCTTATATGGATATGTGTGTGTGTCTTCACAAGGACAAAGTTAAGGAAGAGAAAGCCTATCTATAGAATTTGTTAGGAAAATACCTAATCACTGGTTCTCAGCCTATGGACTCCTGACCAGCAGCAACAGCTTAAACTAGGAAATTGTTAGAAATGCAATATCTTGGGCCCTAACCAAAAAGTAAACCCAACAAGTTGCCATCATGTTGATACTGACTCATAACCCCTCCATGTGCTATAGAGTAAAACTTCCTTTTGGGGACAGATTACCAGGCCTTTCTTCCAAGGTATCTGAGTGGGTTCCAACTATCAGCCTTTTGTTTAATAGTTGAGCACTTAACTGCTTATGCAACCCAGGGACTCCTTCTTGGGCCCTACCCTTGACCTACTGAGTCAGAAACTCTGATAGTAGGTTCCAGCAATCTGTTATATAACTAGTCTCCTGTCACATTGATGCACTTTTAAATTTGAGAACCACTAATCCAGGTAAATATGGTCCTTAACCCAGAATGTCTCCCCCATGGACCTGAGATTTCCATCACCAAAAGATTTTCACTTTTGTATATGTAAAAGCATTGTGTTATCAAGATGGAGGGGACAGTGCTATAAAAGCTAAATAATCAAGTAGCAGACATTCATTCATCCAATTATAGCCTCCTACTGTTACGTGGCAAAGTGTATATTCCTCAAGGAATGAGGTCCAAGATGGGTAAGTGGGGTCTGGGAAGATAGGCCTCTGCTACATGTCTGTAGATTTTTTGTGTTAACTAGAAAAAGGTGCTTCCAGGCATACGTGGCTTGACCATCAGTGAACAAGACTTGGCAGTGAAATAAGGGCTGGATGGCAGCCCCCACTCACACTTTCAGTCTGGCACTCTGCATACAACCTACACAAAGATGCCTTGTGCACAGGTACAGTTGTATGTAAGGCCAGATGTGGGTGTCAGAACTGTGCCTGCATTTACTAGCCATTCCCAATGGCTCATGTGAGACCAGCATGGCAGGAGACATCAGGAAGGCGATCTGTACAGAGGACCTGAACAAAAGGTAGAAAGAGGGCATTGAAGAAAGAGGTTGGGAGTAGAGAGGAGGTTAAATGTGAGGAAATGGCATCTAAAGGGAGGTAGGGTACGGACTTCACTTTGGCTTCAGAACCTGGCCAGCATCTCCCTATTGTTTAAGCAGTGTACTCTGAAAGGAAGTCCAGTCTGGTTCCCTCTTAGCCATGTGACCTTCGTGGAGGTGGTTCAGTGCAGTGGTAATGAGCTGCTGTCATCGGTTCTAACACATGATGACCCCATGTACAACAGAACAGAACACTGTCTGGTCTTTGCCATCTTCATAATCGTTGGCATGACTGAGTCCATTATTGTGCCACCATATATTCTGAGTGCTTTCCAACCTGGGGTGCAAATAGTTTGTGCTTATCTACTTACCCAAAAGATTGGTAGTTTGAACCCACCCAGCAGCACTGTGGAAGAAAGGCCTACCAATCTGCTTCCGTAAAAATTACTGCCAAGAACACCCTATGGACCAGTTCTATTCTGTAATACATGGGGTCACCATGAACAGGAATCAACTTAACGGTGGGGCTCATCTTCTAGCATTGTAATGTTCTGTTGTGATACATAGGTTTCCATTGGCTAATTTTGGAAGTAGGTTGCCAAGCCTGTCTTCCTAGACTGTCTTATTCTGGAAACTTCACAAAAACCTGTCCATCATGGGTGATCCCACTGATATTTCAAATGTTAGTGGCAGAGCTTCCAGCATCATAGTAGCGTGAAGCCAACACAGTATGGCAAACTGACAGTCAGGTGGTGGGGTGATGAGCTATCTCTTTAAACCAGATAAACCTGGCTTAAATCCCAGTGATGTCACTTATTAGTTACTCAGCCCAAGTCATATTTGCTTCCTTCTCCCCCCATTACCATCCCCAACCATAAAAAACTCTCTTCCCCTCCCCTCTGTGTGACTACCCACTCCCTGTGCCCTTCTTAACTATGCATTTGTGTCTGTCCAGCTTTCCCTCTATGTGAATGCTGCCCCTCTGGTGCCCTATGGCCAATTGCTCTAAGGGGTGTATCTCCCTAGAGTAGGTGGGTACATCGCCCTGGGTTAAGTGTTCTGCATGTAGGTCTTTCAACTATTGGGCTGAGAACCAATCCATGGGAATGAGTCCAATTCTAGGCCCAAAGGGTAACCCGAGGCCATAGTCTCAGGGGTTCTACCAGTCTCTATCTGACCAGTAATTCTGGTCATTCTTGTGTTTTTGAATTTTGTTCCACATTTTTCCTCCCACTATATCCAGGATTTCCAGTTTTTATCCCTTTCTGAGTGGTTGGCATTGGTAGCTGAACACCATCTGATCTCGGAGTCATGAAGGCTGACATCCTCGTGGTTCATCTTAACCTTGGATTAGTTATTTCCATATGCCTTTGATTTTCTTCACTTCTCTTTGCTTCAGATGAGAGGAGACCAATAGTTGCATCTTAGATGGCTGCTCAAAAGCTTTTAAGATCCCAGTCACTACTTACCAAAGTAGGTTGTAGAACAAGATTTTTATGTACTATGTTGTGCCAATTGAGCATGATGTCCCCTGAGACGATGGTCCTGGGTCCGTAGGCCCAGTGATTCTCTCTCTCAAGGTGTTTGGTTGTCTCTGAGAAGTTATTCAAACTCTGTCTTCTGTTGCTTCTGTAAAATATGTGGCTAATTTTGTAGCACAAGTGTGTAAGTAAGATTATCTTCAGCCAAATCTATCCTTGGTCTAGAGTATATTCCTGTTGTCCAGCCCTCACCTGATCTTCTCACCTCTCTATGCATCTATCCATAGCCTGGTGTTTTGTGTATGTACTGGCATTTGCCTCTGTTGTCTATATCTTATGTGTACGTTCAGTGTCTTTCCTTTCCCCAATGTCATCATGCTGGTCACAGACTCTTTCCATACCATCTCTCCCCTCACCCAAATCCACATGTGACCCCTAACTAGTCTGAAATTTTCCCTCCCCTTCCCTCCCACCACTGGTAACCAACAAAGTGAATTTTCTACCCTGAGTAAACTTTT